TGTTGTTGTTTCAAAAAGTCTAACAGATAGTTTAAATTATTTAATAACCCAACTTTCACAATATATTTTCCATTATCAAGTTGAAAACATGATCTTTCTCTGATTGTTAAAAAATCAGGTCCTGAACAATTCATATTGAAAATCTCAAACACATTCGGGTTTCAAATGAGAGATTTTGCAGAAGTAATTGATTGAAAAGATAAAATATCAACAAGTTGTTGTCCAACTAGTCCATTAAGAAAGTTATAAAAATCATCATTTTTTAAATGAAATACATTTTCAATAATATTATGGTCCATTGAACGAAAAATTTTACCGTTTTGTTTTGCTGCGTATCCTTAAAAAAATTGAAAAAAAATTGGATAAATAATAAATTTACAAAATTCGTTCGAATTAAGATCTAAATAGATATTTTGGCAAATAAATGTTATATTATAGGTTTAAGTGGTCGAATGATGAATCAATAGTATGACGAGAAAAAATTAATGATTTTAATGATGATATATGTCGCTCACAATCGTTAAATATTAAGTATCATGGAAAAGATGACAATTCTACAATCGATATTGGTTTCCTGTGTTTGTGAATCATCACAAATCACAATGATAAATGACTCTTTTAACTCTTTATTTTTTACTCTTCATATCAACCGATTCGATTAGTTTAGTAATTACTAAAGATGTTTGATCTAAATATTCTCATTAATACATCAAAATTACCTTCCAATGTATTGACACCATGTGATGATGATTTTCTCAATTTTGTTCGACAAGAAGCCGGTGAAGATGTGGCTGATTTCTCTGTTATGAATATCAAAAGTAAAAGTTTAGATGCTCTTAAAAAGAAAATTGGTTATTTGCAAGATGATGATACATATGTTGTCAAGCCAGGTGTAAGAGGCAATGTGGATTATCTTGTTGCTTTGCTTCAACGTAAATGTATTGAAGATGCAAAATTAGCAAAGTCTTCAACCCACGTTCAATCATCATCTGCAGCATTATCTTTAAATAGAACAACAGAAGAACAATCAACAACAACAACAATATTTATTGTTTTATTGAATAATTGATCAGATAATTTAACAATTCCAAGATTATATTTATCAAATGATGAACATTATAAATATATTATTGATGCAATAAATTCCTAGTATGAAAATAATAAATCAATATTTAATTTAAAAGATTTTACTTTAATTGACGGACAACGTCTTTTTATTCATCTGGAATCGACTAGATGATACACTTGGTAAAATAAAATGCTGTTGTGGTAAAATAATAT